TGTTAAAACTTACAGTAATGTCAGTGGAGATTTTGCATTTTTGAGTCCATGTAGACTATGCAGACATGTTCCCATATACGACAGACAAAGCAATAAATTTGTATGTAGTATACATATACTAATATTTGTCAACCTTTTATATATATATATATATATATATATATATATATATGTGAACTCAACGAACAATGTTTTCCTTTGACGATATTGTCATCAAAGTCGTCCTTGATCAACAACCAACAACAGTTAACCACTGTTATGATGTCCTACAGATCATCGCAGTTTTGATCCTTCTTCCCAAATTCTATCTGCCCTTTCAACCTTTATGCATGCATCGGTAAATTAGTAGACTCAAATGACTGTTTTTGTAACTGCATTGACAAATTTTAGTTCTTCGGATACATGTGTTACTTTCCATTATAAGGGGTTGTTTGTTTACCTCTTAATAGTTTCATTAAGAGGCAACCTCTGACCCGTTAAGAGGTGAATCTTGTTTGGCATAAAAAAAAATCTGACTCTTAATGGTTCTTAAACGCTCTGAATGATTTTGTATCATGGATCTCTCTTAACCATTAAGAGCCCTAATTTCATTGTACACAATTACCAAACAATTATATTTCATTTTGCGCTATATCATGAGAGCCTCTTAATCATTATGTCCACTTAATCATGTTGCACCAAATCATTCAACAATTGCCAAACAGCCCCTAAGACACACGCAGTCACATAACTAATTAAATAATAGAAATTTAACACGAGTAGTAAAACGATGAACACTTTTTATATCCAGACAATTAATATGTGAAAAAAAACAAGTGGTCGAAATACATTTTGAGTAATATGTAAACGAGGTCTATTCATGATATCTTTGACCGTATATTACATGGGGATCAGTTTAATAGATTTTGAGCTGACAACTAATCCTACCTAATGAGCGAATCTAGATTGGTTGGTGTAGGGTTCATCGTTTCAATCGTTGTGGCTGCTTTCAGGAACCACAAAGTTATATGAGATTGTATCCTAATGCTAAAAGTAGTCACGTGAAATATGATATATGCAATAGTTCTGATTCGATCGTTGATTGTTAACCATTAACATAGGGACAACTTGAATATAAAAGAGATCGATAACACGGCCTCATCCAACATGCGACCCTGTGTTAGTTGGTGTAGGGTTCATATGTTTAAAACTCTAGTCATTTTTCCAAATCATTATTAGATGCAAATATAAAATGAATTATATATATATATATATATATATATATGTGTGTGTGTATGTGTGTGTGTGTGTGTGTGTGGGGAAGGGTTAAAACGAGAACACTTTCATTTTACGATAACACAAGAACATCTTTTTACTATTGACAATCACATGTGATATTATTATTCCATCACATATGATACACATGTGATACTAAATCAGAGACGCGGACGATTTTCGATGCAGTCTTGGTTGCAGGCCAAGTCGCTTGTACATCACTAAGCCTCCTCACAAGTATTATCAGATGTGATAAGATTGTTGTTGATGTGATACTATAATCCATCAAAACCATCACATGTGATGATAAATCATAGACGCAGAGAACCTTTGGTGCAACCCAAGTCGTAGAACACATCGTACGCACATCACAGGGTCCCCTCACGCGTATTATCATATGTGATAAGGGTGTTCTTGCATTCTCGTAAAATGGAGGTGTTTTTATTTGAACCTCCACCTATATATATATATATATATATATAAAGAATTGATCAATTGAGGTAATTATTTTTTAGATTCCTAAAGAGTATTAATAACATGAGTTATAATTAAGTGGGAATTAGTAAGTATAAAAAATTTCAATCTTATTTGGATACATCGTCTTCTCTAACCTTCAATTGATGGTAACCTAACCGTAAATTATTCTTTGAAAAATAACTAGCACCAACCAATTGATCAAACAAATCATCGATATAAGTGGATATTTGTTCTTACAGTAAGTTTGTTGAGTTTCCGATAATCGATACACATTATCATCGGCCCATCCTTTTCCTTTACAAATAAAACTGGAGCACCCCATAGAGATGTGTTATGTCTGATAAAACCTTTTGTCAAGTAACCCATTTAACTGTGTCATTAACTCTTTCAATTTAGACGGAGCCAATCGATACAATGCACGAGCGTAAAACAATCAAGTTTGTTAGTTGATAGCAAAGATGACGCACGTAAACCGTGGCACAATAGTGGTGCAAGTACACATCACTATTGAGTTCGCCTTTTCAAGTAATACAATAGTAAGTTCCAAAGATCGTTTTCCATAGGGACTGGTCTACTAAGAATCAGAGATTTTGGCGAACTTCCAGTGCAAAGTTAAAGTTTATAAAAATGATTTCTTTTGGGTAGAATACTGATATCTTAAAAATAACAATTAATAAAAAGCGGGTATGTGTGTAAATTTTTCTCGAGAGTATAGTAATAACTTAATGGTTGATAAAACCGGTCAAAGAATAATCCCATTGGACTTCCTTCTCTCGAAGCTACGTCGTATGGGTTGTGATTACGGTTTTCTCACAAAGTTTCCACAAATGCTAACTTTCGGTTTACCAACCGTACTAAGTAGATCTCGCAGATCTTAGTTCCGCTAGTATGGAGAGATGCGATATCTCTTTGACACACCAACTCGACCGACATCTGAACCTTAGTTTGGTTGTGCAAAAACCAATATCTCTATGCTATTATTGAAGATTTTTTTTCAAACCTCCTCGCATCATTCAAGCCGTATTTTGGATCCGTCCATCTCTGGGTCAAAGATCTAATATCAACATTTACAAGTGATCAACTTGTCTGCGTTGAGTTAAAACTTCAACTCGAATGACCAAACCAAAAGAGTTAGCAAAAAGTGGTAACACCCAAGTGTCACATTTTGAACTATCGGGCTTGGCTTACACCCACACCCAAGGAGGGGTGGGGTTAGCTACTGCTCATAATGATATACATAATAGATAAACATAAATATTCAAACATAAACTGCATTAAACGTAAACTCGCCACTGTTGTCAGATCCCACAGGACGAACATAAAATAAAATACTGGTTTTTTTTTTCTTTTTTCGTCCTCATTTTTTTTTTATCTCAAATCCTTTCGATTGAAAAGTATCCTAAATTGTCTAATCTTTTCATTCTTTCTTTTTGTTGCTATGAAATTTCACAGGCTAAGCTATAATTCATCCAATCAGATATAAAACCAATGTAATAACCATTTGATAATACATGCATTTCAGTTCAAGAATGGTTGAAAGAAAACTCATCTCGATACAGTATACGAAGATATAAACGATATTTAATTCAAAGGACCGAAATCGAAGATGAAACAAAACCCGAACACGTGAATCTGAACCATATAAACATGGATCACAATATAGGCAATTAAACTTCACCATAACTCTTAACACACTATAAAACACCTAAACGATACATCAAAAAACCCCCAAAGCGGCTCGAAACGAAAACGAAAAATTTCAAACGGACGAGAAAGCGGTTTTGAAGCCACTCAAACAAGTATATACAACTAATTAAACAACTCTAGATGAGATGATTTAAAGTAAAAGGTTCTTACATGAAAAAAAACCAAGTGATGGCTACCCAAAGGTAGTGATCGCTAAACCGGCCCGGCCCAGCCTGGTTCGGGACCGGTAAGGACCAGTTATGGATTTGGGGTGTTTTGCAGAATCGGGACCGATACCGGTTATGGATCGGCCTGGTCCGACCCGATTTTTCAAAAATGTAGTTATTTTTTTAAAAAATGTAGCCGTTTTTTGGTTCTTTTTTTATATTTTTGCTTTATAAACACTATATATAAGTGTATTGGTTGCGGGATTTACATACCAAGTTCTCGATTCGCAAAAAATGCAAAACAACGTTCATAATTATTGGTTTCTCGCTATATTTTGTAAGACCATGTAATTTTAATTATAATAAAACACATTTTTTTAAGTGTATTTGAGTGACTCAATTACAAATTTTATTATGTATTAAAAATATATAACATTAAAAAAATAAAAATAAAAAAATTATTTTTTAATGACCGGGGGCCCATAACCGGTTACAATAAAGCTTGACCGCACTCAACTTTTTTGAACGGAACCGAAACCGGTTATGAGATATCTTAGGACCGGTTTTTGACAATCACTACCCAAAAATGATGACACCTTTTAAAGACTCTCAAAATCACACCTAACTCCTTTGAAAAACAAACAAGTTATATCCGGTTATAACAAAAATGATTTTAAATAAAATGATTTAGGGTTTTTTAAAACATTTAAAAGTATTTTCAACAACTTTTAAACCATTTGAACCTATAGGTTGGATTTCGGTGAGAATGAGAATTTTGATGAGAATGGATCTCCATCTTTGGATCTAGGGATGCTTAAAAACCCGATCAATCCAGCCATGAACGCCCCTACTTGGATTAATTCTAATTGAAGAGTTTCACTAGATAAACTTTGATCAGAAACATCAGATCAATTCTCTTCTAAAACGTAATTTTCATGGGTTGGTTTGAAATTAAAAGTGATCAGAGGTTCAAATTTCTTCTTACGCTTTTCTTCTCAACTTCTATCTCAAACGGTTGAATCCTATCTTCTTTATTTAACTAGTTATTAATAAAACCACAAGGGTGGTGCCTGATTGGTTTGAGCTTGACTCCAAAGGTCAAAAGTAACTGGAAGTACCAGGTTCAAATCCAATGAGGAATAAAAATCCCCTTGTGGCCACGGAGGTTCAAATACGGTGACTCCGGGCTATCTGCAAAGCATGTGGTCGGCTAGTCGCTCTGGGATTAATCGACTCGTATAGCGGGTTGGATATCCAGGTTAATAATTTTTTTTTGATTTATTAAAAAGCCCCATAAAACTAAGCCCAATCCCAAGATAACATATTCATTTAACTTATTGGGCCTGGCCCATATCCGTATCGAAGAAGAGAATTCTGTTTTTCCTAGGGTTTATATCCGATCAAAAACCCTTCTTCCCCAATCTCTCTGCGTCTTATTCTTTGCCCTAAACAAAGGTAAACTTTCTGCTCTGAATTATCGTTCTTTCAATTCTCTTCGTTTCTATAATCGGTTCTGTTTGTTGTTTAATTAGCATTTTCTCTTGTTTATAATGATATGAAATATGATTTAGTTCTTACAGATTTATGTATTGAAGATTGAATTTATAACAACCGCATGTTCTTAGTTTGATTTGACAGTATGATCCAGAAGACACTCATAAGCAATCTGTTAGGAGAAAGCTTCCATATTAGGGTACTTTTAATTGATATTGTTTGAATGTAGTTAGAAATTAGGGACCCGATTTTCTTATTCGGATGGAAGATGATTACTTTTCTTTAACGAGAGTGGTTTGATGTTCTCCTTTCGTGTATATGGTCGGTAGAACATTAGTATGTCGAAACATCAGCTCATGGTAATCATCTCTTCGTTCATATTTGTTTTTGTGTATATGGTCGGTAGAGCATTAGTATGTAAATTGTTTTTAACTGTTTTGATATCTGTGCCACTATCTTTTTGTTGATGATGATGGGGGATTGGTTGTTTGGTGGGTGTGTTTTTATGATGTAGTTGTGATGTTGCCAATGGTTTCGATTTGGTTGTTTGGTTATGGTTTTTTAACATATGATAGAGTAAACTTACTTCCGCCTTCAGGCATCAAACATACAAAATATCATATAAAAGTCAATTTGTTAAACCCTGATCTCGAAACAATTCTAACATTTTTTAAGCAATGTTTTATACTAAATGTTCTCTAATAGGCTTAGGGGTTGTTCGGTTGGTGTTTCGTTAAGTCTTGTATGGATAAATCTGTCTTTGTAGATTAATCTCTCTGTATAGCTTGAGAAGTTTTTGTTTGTTAGAGTTTTTTCATAGATGGAAGGAGCATGTTTTTTAGTTGGGAGATGCAGGTTTGTAAAAAACTTACCTTTTTTAGCACAAGGCTCCCCCTTAGAAGGTTACTGAATAAGTCACTTTCTATGTCATTAAGCCACTTCCAAACAATCATGTATAGCCGACCGAATAAGCTGCGAGTCCCATTAAGCTCATTAAGCGACTAATAAAAACAGACCCTTAGTGACCCATCAGCAACAATTTTATATTTAGGTTTGCCTGTTTGAACATGTTTTTGTAAAGCTACAATAATTTGACAAAATATGAGGTCAATTTATTTTATAAAAAATTTAAAACATTCATTATGGAATAATTGTGGTTTAGATTTCTCTAGTTGGGTTTTGAGTATAAACCGAATGTGATAACCAAACATGAAGCTGAATAAAGTGACCGAGTCAAATCGTAGACTATTTTCTTTTATGCCTGTCAAATTGGTTTACTTTAGTAGTTCAGTTAACGGTCTTTAGTTTTACCTTTTTAGGTCTTTTTGGTTTTTGTTTTTTCTTTTCTTTCTGACCTCTAGCAGTTATGAACGGTACGCGTGAAGGGAGTGTTGTAGAACAAATGATGAAGTATACACATTAGGTTATGAATCCTTGAGATATATAATGTAGCCTTAATGTATATATGATCTATTTCCTTGTTTTGATTTCTTGCCACTGCTTGTTGGCCGTGTATATGGCATATATTTTTTCTGACCCCATTCTATCTTCAATTTGTAAAATAACTTTGCGTCCTAAATCAATTTTATCACATTCCTCCATGTTTTGACAACCTATCAGCAACATATGTGGTGGTTTCTATGTGTTACAACAAAATAAAGATTTGTGGTGCCTATCCAAACTCCAAAGTTTATTTACCTTTTTATGCCTGCAATGTATAGTAAAGTGAAAGTTTTTATTGCATGCAATGCTTCCTACTTTCATGCACTTTAATGGATGTGGCTTCTACGTACAAACTTATACTTTCCAAGTTTGAACTGTTGTTGCACTCTAAAGCTCTTGTTTATCATCTGGACATGTGCCTGTCTGATTTAAACTGCTTTTAAATTTATTTCATCTTTCCATTCGTTAGTCACATATTTAGTAATGAATACAACATTTTGTACATCACATGTCGTGCAAGCATGGTTTTCAGATTAAGCCTAAATAACAAATAGGTGTCTTTGTGAAACAGTGATGTATAATAGCGTTAAAACGTTTTTTTGGGCATATACAAATTAGTGAATTACCGATCGGAGAACTTGTGAGAGGATTTCTATCCATATGTTTCCCTTGCTATATATGAATTCCTTACATAAATTCATGTTTTTTTTCATGCAGAAAAGTTGGGGCTCATTGTAAGATTTTGCAATGAGATTGGAGAAGTGCTGGTTTTGTTCCTCTACTATATATCCCGGACATGGGATTCAGTTTGTGCGAAATGACGCAAAGGTATATTGAATTTATGTTTTGTAGATTTTATGGCTACCATTATATAATGTATGACATACAAGCCAAGTCGGAGTTTTTTAGCTCATGAAAAGTATGCTTGGCTTGGGTTGGCTTCTATAGGCTCGAGTCCTACCAGTATAAGTATACATTTCATATTAATTATTTTATGAAGTTATGATTAGATGTCTCAACAAGGCTAGAACAGCAGATGTTGCATTTAGGGACTTAGTTGGCTCAACAAGCATGGCTCATTAGGCTCAATGAGTTGTTGAGTCTGAGTTACGTAGGCTCGAGCTTGCCTGAGATTATAACATGAAATATTTGAAATGGCAGATATTTAGATTTTGTCGGTCAAAATGCCACAAGAACTTCAAAATGAAGAGGAATCCTCGGAAAGTGAAATGGACCAAAGCTTATAGAAGGTTGCATGGCAAGGACATGACTCAGGTACACAAACTTGCTACAAGGGCTCGTTTTTTTTACATTATTCTTTCACGAAAACTGGCATGACTCTGACCGTCCAATGAATTAAACTTTTCAAGGACTCCACATTTGAGTTCGAGAGGAAGCGTAACAGGCCCGAGAGGTATGACAGAAACCTCACTGAGAACACACTGAAGGCTATCAAGACAATCGACAAAGTCAGATCCCGCAGGGGAGAGATGCACCATAAGAACAGGTCTTTTTCTCGAACCCCACGTTCACTTTGAATTTTTGAATCTTTGAATCATTCCTTTTTATGGAAACAAAACAACCGCTCTACTTTTTGGGGTAGAAGTTAGGTTTGTGTACATCTAACACTCCCGGACCCCACCTCCGTTCTCTAGTGGGATATACATAAGAACTGGGCTCGTTTTGTTTGGGTCAACTCTTTGAGGTGTACCGAGTTTGGTTGGTTTTGGTTTACTGATTTTCTTTTTGCCTTTTCTGATACGGTGTTTATGCTAACGGTGCAGGATGAAAGGCAAGGCTGCAAAAGAACGACGAGAGGCTAGGAAGGAACACGACCAGCAACTCCACATGGTGGTTGCTCCTGGTGCCACCCTTGGTTCATTGGCCAAAGATGCAACCGCTACACCGGCCAAAGCCAAAGTCAAGGTTCAACAGGAATCAGAGGAAAATCGAATGGAAGAATGATTCTTCTAAGATGTCTGGACGGGTTGTTGCTCGTATGTTTTTTGCTGTGTAAAACGCCTACATTTCCGAGTAGCTTAATCGTTGAAAAGTTTCGAGCTTATTAGTTTTGACATGGTTTGTTTGGCCTCCGATGTATTCTATAAAATGTGTTCATTTATAAAGATCCAAGACGTTTGCTTACATTGCATTTTTATGAGTAATTTTTGATAAACATATTTAAATATCGAGTAAATTACAATTTTAGTCCTTATGGTTTGTTGTTTGGTCTGTACAAAACCCTATACTTTAATTTTTTCACCTGCATTAGGTAACCTTTAATTTAAATGTACTTATTATAACAGGATTGTATGTCATCTCATTGTTTATGTAAGTTAACCACATGTATTATAACTGATGTGACATTTTTTTATTATTACATCGTACTTTTAAACTGGTTTTATTATAGCATATATTAATTTTTATTACAACTTTATACTTTTAATTTTAATATTTTATTATTTAGACATTTTACATATTATTTAATAAATGTATTAAATGATTTAAAAATCTTTTAAACTATTTATTAATATACCAATATTAATAAAATTAGTAGGATACAATTTATCTCCTTTAAAAAAAACTTTTAAAGATATGTATAATTTTGAACAAATTAAAATAAATGTTACATTTTTTACAAACAACTTATTTATCTCGAAAATAATATATCATATTTATTTAATAAATATTTTACTCTAGAATATTTAATTTGTTGTAATAAGAAAAAATGACAGTAAGATGTTATAATAAGAATCACATTACCTTATCGGATGAATATGGTAAGGATTAAAAATCTTACCCGGTAAGAGCGAGACAAGAACCAAAAGTTTTACCCGGTAAGTGAGGATGACGGCTCTTACCATGGTAAATGCTTACCGGGTAAACTGTTGTATACGATGTTTTGTTGGACTAAAATCTTACCCGGTAAGCAAATGATAGTGTTAAACTTTTACCAGTAAACGCTTACCATATAAGTGTTTTCTAAACAGTCCCCGAGTCTCGGAATAAAAACAACAATGTACGGAATTCGCTATTTTTAACGAACTACAAAAACGGAAATCATCGTTTACTCTATACAATATTTACAGTACACTTATCAATGCACAAAGTACAACCCCACAAAGCATGGCTTATCTGGGCTTAATCTGGAAAACCCTATTGTACCAAATTGAATGCAGAATCATATGAAACAGATCATACTTTTGTGGCTTAACATGCCATAGAAAATGTTTCTGAACCTTCTTTACTCCATTCTGCAGTTCTCGATACCTTTCATCGGTAATCGCCGCGAGAATCTTCTTCAACTCGGGAATATCTTTCTCGGCCACGATGACCGAAAACGCCTCCCAATCCAACACCTCAAAAAACGGGGGGACGAAATTGTCCGAGATGATCACGGGAACGCACTCGTAAAAGATCGATTCCACCACCCGAGGGCTGTTCACCTCGTACCCTTTCGGGCAGATGCAATACTTGCTGCTCTTCATATGTTCGATGTAGTTCATCTTGCTAGCGACCCCGGGTGGCATGGGGCCCGAGATTTTCATATCCGCGTCTTTGTTGTTCCAATATTCGAGCAAGATTTTACGTAAATATCCGTGCATGTTACCGGCATAGAAGGCGAAGATATGCCTTTCAGAAGCTGGTTTCCCTCCGAGATCTCGGAGCGGGTTTCGGGCGGAACGAACGTAGCATTCGGGCAGGGAGACGTCTCTTCCGATCTTGAAGCCGGCGGTAACATCGGCATTGCACAGTGCTTTGATGCAGTGTTCCATATGATGCCTCGTCTCATACGGAGCCTATAATGTACAAGTAAATAATGCATAAAACTGTTGATAAACTAGTTGTTAGCAGATAAACTAGTCATGTTTGGTAAAACTAGCTGATAAGTTAGATAACAGCCTTACCCAATCATGGCAAGCAACAAGAATATGATCCGCTCCACCGGTTCTGTTCCAAAACGGGTATTTGGAAGCGATTTTTTCTGCGTAATTCTTCAAATATTGTCGCAAATTTGTGCGGTTGTGAGAGTTACGTACGTAGAGCGTGTGTTCCAACATCCGCGCGCTAAACGGCATGTAAAACAAGTGAGCTTTTCGGGGGTCTTTAACGACAAATTGCTTATTTCCTTCCATGAGTTTCATAAACCATCCCTCGGAGGCGTATAACCCTTTGAGTATCGGTTGATGAAAGATCGGTTTCTCTCCATCTTTGTATACGTATACTTTGAGAGTACGCTCCATGAGTTCGTAGCTCCTACGAAAGTAACATAATCACTTGTTAAAAACGGCAATAAAATCGGCTTCATATGACAGTTTCTCAAAAGTGTTCTATAAAAAAGCTAATAGGACACTGTATTTCAAAAGTTCTCTGAAAAACCGGTTAGGATGCATAAATACATTATAACATTCTACTGTAACACATTTATACAGGACGCACAATTGTTTGGTCCTATAAACTTAAATCCTGTAAAACAGTCTGTTGTCCTAGAAAGCCGATTAACCTCTTGAACATGGATACATTACGAAACACGGGAGCGTAAAGTTCTTGATCAACCGTTTGGGAGGGCGCGCTAGTGATTCGCGCCTTTGAAGCAAGAATGTCTTGATCTCGTGCTGAAGACCATCGCGGCCGCTGCAAAGCAATACACGAGCGTAAAAAAAATCGTCTTCAAAACAAGATCGATGACTTGTTTGCTAGAAGGGCAAAACTCATAAAAAATGCAACGAAGTTTGTCTTATTTCCTATTAAATGTAAAATTGACCTTTTTTCTCGATTAATGTGACAAAGTTTCAAAATTTCCTATTTTGTACTCGTTTTGACCGATAACTTGCTTGTAACATCCGACGACATAACCACAAGGGTTGTAGCATACGGTTGACGTCCTGGGGGATGTGATGGAATGGAATATCCCATCAGCCCGGGGTTCGATTCCAGGCGTACACAACAATAAGAAGTAAATCAAATTTCGTTGCATTTTCAACACATTTTGCCCGTTGCAAAGAATGACCCGAACACGATATTCTTAAAAACAATCCAACGAATTCAAGATGAATACCATAGCTCGAGAGGATCTACGATGCCGAACCAACAACCGATCCATTTGGTCCTTGTACATGACCGATTTCGGCGGCATCAAACACCTCATTCTCTTTCGATCATCGCTCACAAACAACGCATACTTTTCATTGATCGGAAGAATTCGAGTTCGTAATCCAACCCCAGATCCATTGCCACCAAGATTCACGACCTTCGACGCTACATTTTCGATCGTAATACCACCATTTACAGAACCCCCATCTCCAAGATTGTTACTTAGATCTACAGATAGTAGTTCATGGCTTGTTTCACCCAAATGTATGTTTTGAACAAACTGAAGGTCGTGATCTTGAAATTGGTTTCTGAAATTGGGGTTTGGGGTGAAATATGGGAGAACAGTTTGATAAGGGATCATAATGGTTTGGCAGAAGAAATGGATTGTAGCAATTAAAACCGCCATTAAAAGCCATCTTCGTCTCTTCCGAATCTGATGAACAGTTTGAAATTGAATTGGGTATTTCTTCATTCTAACGATTTTGAACAAAATTCATCAAGAAAATCGAACATTGGATACCCTGCAGCAAAGATTATCGAAGAAACTTGCTACAAATCAGTTTGCATTTATGGGAAGCAAGTAAAAATCTGGTGTAATAAGGATCAGGTGCTTCAAATCAGCATATACAGATCCGACTGCATTCTGATGCTGATGAAATATATATATATATATATGTATGTATATGTATGTATGTATATATATGTATGTATGTATATATCTAAAGAGAGAGAAGCGTACCTGGTAACAATGGCGTATGAATGGAAATGGATTAAAACCCTAGAGAGTGATCAAGTGAAGAAAGCAGGATGACATGATTATTGTTGTCGGCAAATTCATATTCAAATTAATCATATGGGACCCATTCTTTTTTCTGGAAAAGCGAAGCAATATCATTATTGGGTCTTGATCTACTTCAACAACCAACTCGGTTTGGTACAAAATGATTAACATTTTTTCACGATATAATATAAAATAAAATATATATTAAATTAAGAGGTTTTTATAATATAATATAAACTAAAATATATATTGTTTGATAATTGTTTATAATAAAATTAAGATGTTGAATGGTTAAGAGAGGTTCAAAATATAAAATCATTCAGATGATTTTAGAATCATTAAGGAGTAAACTTTTTTTTTTACCAAACAAGATTCACCTCTTAACGATTCAGAGATTGTCTCTTAATGAAACTATTAAGAGATAAACAAACAACTTCCAAGGATGAGATTAATAGGAGGGATACTAATATAAAATGGTATTTTTTGACTTAATAAGTAACCGAGATTAACAGAGGATCAGGATTGAATCGGGATTTCGGTCGCGACCTGAGGGTCGCAGGCCATGTCGTCCGCGTTAACCAAAAATTAAATGTGATTTTACACATGATTTGACCATCATGTTCTTTTATTTCATTACTATTCTAATATATATCTATACTACCTTGTAAATCAGATTTATCAAAGTCTTAAAAATAATTTTTAATGCACAAAATACTATACATTTATGCACAAGGTCTTAGAAGTCTTAAAAACAACTCATAATGCATTAAGTACTACTACTTCATGCATTCAGTCTTAAAATCTCTTAATTTACAATTAAAATAACATATAGCACAAGTTACTAATGCACATTATTACTTTTTATTTTAATGTTCCGAAGATACTTTTGACACCTTTCACTCATGATTTCACAATCTCATACCTCTATGTCTTCTTCCCATCCCCCAATGTGAGATTTAAATTAATATTCACCATGAGTTATTAAAAGTTCTCTCATTCAATTGCTCTAGAACTCTTGGTCTCGCTCTCGATCTCTTGAATCTTTGCTCTTGGTGTGAATCGAACACATTTGTGGAGTCGTTTAAATATGTTAGATTTTAAATATATTAGATTTTAAACTGTCATACAAATGTTTTCATTGACAAACTGTAATTGGAACCATAACTCTTATTTATTCAAATTCTATTAATATGTAAAGACCAAGTGTAATTTATATCATCGTTAAATCTTCTCTAATAAAACCAGTGAAACTTCAAAATCGTTAAAATTCACGGCTCCCGCTGCATTGCGCGGGTACACAACTAAATAAGAGTTATGGTTCCAATTACAGACTATCGATGAAAAAAATTGTATGACAGTTTAAAATCCAATATATTTAAAATCAAACATATTTAAACGACTCCACAAATGTATTCGATTTACACCAAGAGCAAAGAACCAAGAAACTTGAGTTTTAAGATAAACACTCAAACCCAATAAAGAAAACTACAAATTTGACAGATCATAAGCCATGAAAAAACAAAAAAAGATAGGTTTTAGAATGAAATTTCAACTGCTTACCCTCTTTCTTGTCCAGAAACTCAGATTAAGGTTGAATTAATACATGTTTATATATATATATATTTTTTTTTTTTAAAAACCCAAGAACATATTAATTCAAAACATATTATACAGTGCAATTTAGACAACCTAACCCCAAAATATATAGTATATATATAAATAAATAACTATAAAAGTATAAATCGTGAATATTAAAAATATTTTTTCACAGTATATATAATATATAATAATATAATTAAGTCAAAACTATTTAATATTAGACTCATTTCGAAGGTATTAACGAGACGATTATAATGGTATAACTTGTTAAGATAAAAATGTATTTTTAAAACTTATGTATATTAATTTGATAAGGTTTATAATGAAACATTTAAAAGTAAAAAACATAAAGTAAATTAATTAATTAATTAATTATAGGGGTATAAAGTGGAAATTTAAACTTATAATTTGAAAAAAATCGGTTGTAAGAGGGTGAGAGTATGTGAGGGGGTGAGTGTATGTAAGGAGAGGAGGGGGTGAAAAAGCAAGTATAAATGGTATTTTGGTCATTTAGTATTTTAAGACTTTTGCTAAATTTGCTTATATAGATACTAGTTGTCTACCCACGCAATGCAGCGGGGTACAAGTTTTACATAAATGTAAGCGAGAATACCGATTGACGATTACGACAGATACACACATGATTGCCACAGCAAGACAAAACCAACTTGTGTTGATACTTGCACAACCAATCAATCAAATCCATTTGGTTGACATCCATTTGCCATTGAAACACAATAGCTAACCGGTACATGAGATATTTTCTTTGAAAAAAATGCAAATAGCAAACTCATATCACAAAAAACAACAATTATAGATGGTTAGAGACTTTGAGCATTTGGATAAACGACCCTTAAATACCTTAATCAGAACTTATATGATCCCAAGTCTATATATATATATATATATATATATATATATATATTTCCATTTATTGGGCTTAAGAGAAGAGTATTACATGAAATTAGTCCCCATGGCAGCATGGAAGTTGCCAAGAGTATCCATGAAGAGTTTAGGATTASCTATAACATCTTCATATCTAGCAAGCTGAGGCGGATACAGATAATGCTGCATCGCCTTTTCTTCGACTGGGATCATGCTTTGGTTTTCTGTAGATTAACAAGCAGCAATTGCACTTTTCGTTCACCACTTGCCGCCACCGAACAACCCTTTTCAGCCTGCTATCTTACGACTGAAAACGTATAAAGAACAAGAAACCGAATCAAACAACATGCTCAACTTACTTCAATCATGGTATCATGCCCCCTAGAAATCACATTTAAGGAGGCATTTCAGAGCTGACTCGGTGGCTAGAAACCACATGCAAGGATGCATTTCAGAGCTGACTCAGTGGTAGAGGCTGGTAGAGGGGTTCAAACCCGGATTCGAACCTGAACATCTTGTGTATTTGAGTAAAGTCACTCCACCCTTCAGCCGATTGATCAAAACAGAAGCATTTACAGGTGAAATTAGCTACAGAAATGAAAGAAAAAAAGGCCCTTAAATCATACTCACTTTGTTTTTACACCATTAAAGGTCCACTTAAAGAGTTTTAATCACCATAAATGATCTTGGAAAGAACAACAATGAGCACCAGCACATTATAGGTATAGTTTCTTTATCTATCATCAAAGGGAAACATCCATAGCCCAAATTAGGACTGATGTAGCAGCAGCAGCACAACATAGTAGCTATCATAGCCATGGATTTCTTTACAATATCAAGAATTTAACAGAATTAGTACACCAAAACTCACATCTTTTTAACCTTTTTATATTTCCAATACATGATTTAACTTGATTCTGATATAAACAGGGCATGCATATGCCAAACACCCATAAACTAAAAAGGAGTGGTCTAAATACATCCCTACCTCCTAATTTTCTTCAGGCACATTAACATCAWKACTTACTTTTTACATTTTCAATACATGATTTAACCTRATTCCAGTATACAGAGGGTCATACAGCAACACCCAACTAAAAATTAAAAAAACCCTTTAGTTTCTTAAATGGGATTTGCAGACTTAACCTACCTACAAGATCTTTTTCTGACATTCCAAGATATTACATCTAAAACTTGGGTTATAGAGATTATATATAGTAACATAACACACACACACACACACACACACATATATATATATATATATCTATACAATGCAAAAGAAATATCAGAAGTACAACAGCCTTTTATACCCATCTACATTTTCATCATTTAGGGTTACAAGATTCTATTGCTCATCAATGGAACTCCAGATCTCTGCTTCTAATCCAATATCTATGCATACACACACATATACATATATACACTTATATTAATTTCAATAAATCAGTTGAATGCCACTTTACATATTAGAAAAAAGGCATTCAATAAATCTGGTGAATGMCTTTTTTCTARCACTTATATTAATTTCAATAAATCAGGTGGTGAAGATACTTTCAGCTTTTGATCACTCAGTTGGTGGTATTAACGGTGCTGATGAAGAAGGTTGAGCACCACTGCATTCAGCAGCAAGCAGTGGAAACRTTGAGATAGTCAAGATTTTGCTAGACAGAAATTGGCTGATTGTTTTTCAGTTGCACGTATACTAATTTTTTTGGCTCTAATACTAACTCAGATAGATATGATACACACCTGTAGTAAAAATAGATGCATTTTGTTAAGTTGGTAGCTAGTTCAAAATGTTGGATTCCTTGAAAATTTAAGGTGATTGAACACATTAGCTTTCACTCATGTCCCATGGCCAATMTAATATAAGATGGGTAAATGYAATGCACCTACMATAGCTTCTTGAGACAAAATTATAACTCTTTAGGGTAACATTATACAGTCTCTGTCCTTGATTTTCTTCCAGCAACATCATATCCTATATGTTCCTCCTTGTACACTCTAGAAGATCATCCCCAAGACCAACCTATTACAGAAGATTAACACTAAAAATAACATTAAAAATCTGGATCTTACCTCGTGGTTAACAGCTGTAGATTTAATCACGCCAGATTAATGAAAAGAAAAAGCATCTGGGTCTTACTTCCTCGTTGAAAGAACCCATATTTATAGGGCTGCATTTCTTGATTCATTATAGAAAATTGAAATCTTGATTCATCATAGTTATAGAAGGTATAATATTCRTGGATGTTTGTTAACCTATGCAAAATCTCGGACGTAATATCTACSAAAGATGGAGGAAAATGGTACATTTTTAAACTATTATTGCTACTMTTTATCTTCTACATCTTAAACTCAAAAAATGACAATGGKTCTGTCTCGAATCAAGATTCTTTGGATGTTTTCCTATCCATAAACCATCTATCTACCCTCCTGCTATTCTGAAACTACAACAKATGGAAGAATCGAATCAGGAGATTGAACATGTCAATGAAAAACAAAACAAAACAGAGAAACCATGGAAGAATCGAATMAGGAGATTGAAGATGTCAATGAGCATCAAATCAAGAGAGATATAAAAGCAAGATGAAATTGTTGGGGGRAAAAATGTACACATTAAAGTGAATTGACAGTGAACCCTAACYATTTAGATAMTCATAGTTTGAACCGATTATCTGGATCGAGGAGGGATGGAATGAACCCTAACCATTTACATAATCAGAGTTTGAATCGATTACCTGCATCGAGGARGGATGGAATCAACCCTAACCATTTACATAATCAGAGTTCGAATCGATTACCTGGATCGTGGAGCGACGGAAGGATCGAGGAATCGAGAAGCGTTTGAATGGAGCCTTGAATCATAATCTGATTTTAAATCATGGAAATCAATAGAGTTTGAATCGACGGGAGAGATGGAGTGTATTTGAGTATGGGAATAGATTTTTTAAATGGTCGCTTTGGGAATCGTAGCTTTGGGGAGAGTGGAGTCTGAAAAAAGCAAAAGGAGGGAGGCGTGTTTGCAGTATGTATCAAGAAGTTGTACTTTATGTTGATTGTATTGTGATTAAGACTTTAAGGGCATTTTAGGTATTTATAAATTTAAGACTTTAAGACTTTGGATGAATATGCTTAATAAAGTAGTATAGATATATAAATTTACAGAAAAGGCACATACAATTGTTTAATCTCAAATTGAAAAAAGTCTATTGTTCCAAATGGAATGAAGAATCATATGAAACAAATCAAATTTTACAGGTTTCTTATGCCAAATAAAATGTTGTTGCACCATCTTCACTTTCTTCTGCATTTCCAGATACTTTTCGCCCGAAATCGACCGAAGAATATCGCTCAAATTCGCCACATCTTTCTCCAAAACGAACACCGAAAACGCCCCCCAATCCAAGAACTCGAAAAATGGCGGAACGTAGTTATCGGATATGATCACCGGTACACATTCGAAGTAAATCGACTCCACGATCCGTGGGCTGAAAACTTCATACCCACGAGCACAAATGCAGTATTTGCTGCTCTTCATATAAGTTCGGTAACTAGCTTTACTTTCAATATCACGAGCCATTGGTCCGAAGATCTTCATGTCGGGATCTTTATCGTGCCAGTGTTGAATTAGGATCGGTCGGAGGTTTCCGTGCATTCCTCCAGCAAAAAAAGCAAGGATCGGTCTCTCTGAAGGTGGGTTCCCACCAAGATCTTTAACGGGATCTTCTGCGCTACGAATATATGTGGCCGGAAGAGTCGTGTCCTTCCCGATCTTGAATCCACCTGCAAGATTTGAGTTGCAAAGAGATCTAATGCAACTTCCCATAGGGTCTTTTGTTAGCTTCATCGCCTGCATTTTGACAGTTTTGTGAAGCCAACCAAGGTATATCGAGAAAAAAAGATTCATCAAACGGTTATCACCCAATACACTACAACAAAGTCGGTTTTATAGGATGCCAAATATATCTAAATATCATAATAAACTGTTTTATAAGACATAAGTCTACAAAACCAAACAATTGTGCTTGCGCCATATGTAAAGGTGTTACAGTAAGTTGATAGACACTTTTGGGCATCCTAACAAGTTTTTATGGCACTTTTGAAACAAAACGTCTTATTAATCTTTGAGTAAATTACGATTTTCATCCATGTGGTTTAGAAATTACTATTTTCAACCACAAGGGTGGTGCCTGATTGGTTTGAGCTTGGCTCCAAAGGTCAAAAGTACCAAAAGGTCCCAGGTTCAAATCCAAGGAGAAATAAAAATCTCCTTGTGGCCATGAAGGTTCAAATGCAATGACTCTGGGCTATCTGCAAAGCAGGTGGTAACCCTAGAATTAGTCGGCTCGCAGAGCGGGTTGGATATCCAGGTTAATCAAAAAAAAAAATTTGTCCCTATGGTTCACAATTTATTGCTATATTTGTCCTAATGATTTACATGTTATTGTTGTTTTGGTCCTTGTGGTTTACAATTTTATACTGTTTTGGTCCCTTGTACTCTAAAGATAAAAAATTAGTTCGGGGACGAAAATAGCAATGAATTACAAACCATAGGGACAAAAATCGCAATTTTTAAACTACAAGGACGAAAATCACAAATTTTAACAAACCATAGGGACGAAAAACGTAAATTACTCAATCGTTCTATATGACATTATATGAAAAAGTGATATAAAAACAAGTGTCATATAAAAAGAGGTGTTCATATAACATTTCTCAAAAGTCACCTATAAAAAAACTAACAGAATATTTATTTGGAAAATGTCATAAAAAACTAATTTGGATGCCCAAATATTGTAACACTTCTATATTGGATGTACCAACTGTTTGGTCCTATAAAGCAGTCTATTTAGGGATTGTTTGGGATTGCTTATTTGAAACAACTAATGTTTTTCTACAAAAACACTTATCAACTTATTATAAGTCAGAAGAGTTTAACTTCTTTAAAAACTCTTTATTACCGGTTTGGCACCGGTATAAGTTGTTTATCCAAATACTCAAAGGTGCTTATTACCGGTACCACACAGGAATAAGTCAATAAGTTGTTTTTATAAGCAATCCCAAACACCCCCTTAGACATTCTGATATATTTGCCGTCCTATAAAACCGAATTTGTTGTAGTGATATAACAGTTTCTCGTGAGACACCATGATACAACTATTTTGTGCAGGATTTGAGCGTCTACTATGCACGTTTATGGAACGACTACAAGATAAAATACAGAAAGCAAACATACCCAATCGTGACATGCAACAAGAAAATGATCAGCTCCATTGGTTCGGTTCCAGAAAGGGTACTTTCCAGCGATTAAGTCAACGTAATTCTTTAAATGTTGTTCTAAATCTTTGCGGTTCCGAGGATGTTGCTCCTGAGACGAGTTTCTTAGCTTTAGTGAACTAAATGGTAGATAGAATAGATGAGCTTTTCTGGGATCTTTCGTGATGAAGTTTCTACTTTTCTCGATTAGTTTCATGAACCATCCTTCTGAAGCGTAGATTCCCCTTAATTTTGGATCATGAAAGATCGGCTTTTTCCCTTCCTTGTAGATGTATATTTTCAGAGTCGTTTCCATCAATCTGTAACTCCTGCAGAACAGTTGAGAAGAAGAGATTAACCTTCAATAAGGGCAGGTTCAATTGAGAACCGTAAATATTTTGAAAACCGTGAGAACCAACTATTCATGAAATATTCATAAATATCATGATAGATATCATTTATGAATAATGCAAATGCATGATATTCATAATGAATATTTAGGTATATTCATCATGAATAATTGGTTCTCACGGAACACAAATCTTTTACATGAACTACTCTTAAACGAGGAGAAATGTCCACTAATCGTTTAGATATGCATTTGTCATGATCTCAAACCCGAGTTCATAATAAAGAATGGACTCCGTCAAATACTCCTTCAGTGACAAAATAAATGTCCACAATGAAAAAGAAAAACGGTTTCATAAAAATATGTAATTATCACATTTTTAGTTAACTAAATGACAATTTTATCCTTAACAATAGAGGGAGTAATGTATTTCTCCATCTCATAATTAAGGGTAGAATTGGAAAGTATGTAATTATTTCTGAAAGTTGACACTTATTTTGGGACAAACTGAAATAAAAATGTGGACACTTATTCAGAGGACAGACGGAGTATACGAGTAAAAGATTTCACCTTACAAACTTGGAAACATTTCGATAAAGAGAAGCATCAAGTCCTCGGGCGCTTCCTAACATCGGCCCGTTCTCAATTTGCGTCCGTGCTTGTTGAAGTCGTCGGTCACGAGCAGAGAACGACTTACCCTTCTATCATAAGCAACAGATTTTTAAGTCAAACCCTGGATTTCCTAAAACGAAAAATCATACTCCCACCGTCCCAAAAATAAATGTCCACATTTCTATTTAAGTTTGTCCCAAAATAAATGTTCATTTTCCAAAGCGTCTACTTTCCAATTCTACCCTTAATTATGATACAGAGAAACTCATCACTCCCACTATCATTAAGGATAAAATTGACATTTAGTTAATTAAAAACTGTAATAACTACACATTTCTAAAAGTGTGCCTTTCTCATTTTCGACATTTATTTGGGACAGAGGGAGTAAGAATAAGCGAGCCCCTACACTGAAACGAGCAGCAACGGCTGATTCAAGAACCGAAATCATGTAAGAAAGCCGTGTTGATTCCGAAGCAACAGAAACAGTTTGATCCGAACCATTTTGTTTAGCTGCAATTTGTGAGACTAAAGATCCATGATCACAATCATACCCTTTGCACCCTGCTTCTACTTTCGAATCGTTCAGAGCTAGCTCGAATGTAATAGAGGCATTATCGTAAATAGCCACATCGTGTACCAGAACACCCTTGTTGAGTGGTGATACAATCAACGCGTAATTCTTATAAGGAAAAGCGATTAACTGAGCTACAACTACGAAAACGACCACAAGGCTTATGACCAACACTAGCAGTCTCTGGATTTTAACTCGACATAATCTTTGCAACGGTCGTCCAGTTTCCATTAGGGTTTATGTCATGAATTGCTTTAAGCATGGTTCCACGGAGCTACTCTGACATACCATCTGTTGGCTGATAAGCTAGCTGTTAACTGAAAAGCAAAACGAGAGCATACCATCTAGCTGATAAATTAGTTGTTAACTGTAAAGCAAAACGAGAAGAAAGAAGTATGAATATCTGAGTGGACATAAACATATTTGGGGAGCGGTTGAAGAATGTTCGGGTGAGCCTCAGTCACGAGAACAGTCTTTTTGCAAAAGTTTAAGGGAAAGATTGGTAAATGTTAAATTAAGGGGCCGTTCACCAAACGCTTACCCGGGTAATCGCTTACCAAGTACCATTACCTCACCGGATGAATATGATAAGGGCTAAGGATCTTACCCGGTAAGAGCGAGACAAGGACCAAGAGTCTTACCCGGTAAGTGAGGGCGATGACTCTTAACATGGTAAGCGCTTACCAGGTAAATTGTTGCATACAATGTCGTTTTGATGGACTAAAATCTTACTCGATAAGTAAATAATAGTGTTAAATTTTACCGGTAAACACTTACCGGGTAAATGTTTGGTAAATGGATGTATTAAAACTTTGCACAATTCTTTCCGCCATCTACCTCACTCTCACCGGTACAGTATATACAGTCCAGTCGCGATGTCTTCACTATGAATTTTTGAAAGTTAGATGAATTGCTCTACCATAAACCAAGAACTTAACTCAAGTTCTTCATGTTACAGATTCATCATTTTCCCCAAATCAAATCCCATTTTTGGATATCAAAATCCACAGTTTTTGAGCACTTGGAGTAAAACCCTAATTGCAAATTCATGGATCAACAACCAACATATTCATACGGTCATTTCAACTCGAATTCACTTCACATCACATACAAATCTTCACAAAATCGGAAGTTCCATTTCTCAACTTCTCATTATATCACATTTTCATGTTCGAGAGTTATAGATTAATATCTCGGATACACAGAAGAATAAGAAGAAATACACAAATGTAGTCAGGTTTTGATTGATTAGATTGTGATTACAATGAACCATTTACAGTGACATGATCGACAAACGAACAAATAACGAATACCCAAATAGATTGACGATATAAATTGGAACAAAATGAAATCTTCCTGACCTATGAGTAAGGAGCTGAAGTTACCCGATGGATCGATGAATGAATGCAAGTAAAGAACAACTTGCTAATTGATTGAAGAAATGCAAACGAAGGATTTCTACTGGAAATCATCAGTTTGGGGAAGACGGTTCAATGGAGGGTAATTTCTAGTTTTGGTATAAGTTACAGTTTAGTCCATCAAGTATTGTTTCTGTCAATTTTCATACCTGAATTTGTAAAACTATGCAATTAGGTAGTTGTAGTAGTAGAAGTTGATACATAGTATTTTGACTTTCCTCTAGAGTCAAATTGACTTACACATTTGACTTCAAAGTCAACAAATTCAAGGGAATCGTATTCTCTTGTTTACGGTATTTTGAACGTCTTACATTGCACAACTGAATTGTGGTTAGAGTTAACGATGATATAAAATACAATTGTTATGGTTATACTCCATACATATATAGTTATACTTTATAAAGGTCAATTATTAAGGGGTTGTTTGTTTACCTCTTGTTTGGTAAAAGAAATGTATGATTCTTTATGATTCTAAAACCCTCTGATAGATCATCAAGAGGTGTCAATAAAGAATAAAACCAGTGTGGTCATATCGAAACGTATTGATAAATTAGGGTGTAATTGTCGATGCCAAGTTTTAGATATTTGTATAACAATTCATAACTTGAATATATATATAAATACATGAAACAGTTTCATTAAAATTTCATTAAGTA